ACATTCTCGATAACACTTTCCTTTTTTAAAAAAAAAGTTTTGTCCAATCTAATAGGTGTGAAGTGGTATCGCATAATGATTTTGATTTGCATTTCTCTAATGACTAATGACATGGAATATATTTTCATGTTGTCGCTGTTGACCATTTTTATATTTTCTTTAGAAAAATGTCTACACAAATCCTTTGCCTACTTTTAAGTTGGGTTGTTTATCTTCTTTGTTGTTGAGTTGTAAGAGCTCTTTGACACTATATTCTTACCAGGTATATGATTTTCAAATATTTTCTCCCATTCTGTGGATCATGTTTTCACTCTTTTGATAGTGTTCTTCTTTTTAAAAAAATATTTTTATTGATTTCAGAGAGGAAGGGAGAGGGAGAGATAGATAGAAACATCAGTGATGAGAGAGAATCATTGATTGGCTGCCTCCCACATGTCCCTGAAAAGCCCACAGCCCTGGCACATGTCCTGGAATCTGACCATGACCTCCTGGATCATAGGTCAATGCTCAACCACTGAGCCACACGGGCTGGGCTTGATAGTGCTCTTTGATGTACTTTAAAATTTATACATCACTTTCTCTGGGAAGTCTTGATTTGGTGTCATTTGTCTGTGTTCCAGTAGCAGTATTTAACTTCCTTAATAGGGATTTTATCTCACTGCACTGAAGTTAACTGCTTACTTGTTGGTCTTTCAAGCTCCCTGAGGATACCTAATGGAGTGCTTGACTGAATATGGGCCATAGGCCACTATCCATTTTCTGATCTACCTGGTATACTCCTCATAACAGCAGGCACAAGTGGGGAGCACTGAAGTGGGGACTCTCCCAGTATCATATCATCATATCAGCCATTAACAGTTGCTGCATTGCCCCTCCACCTGCCCCCCTGCATCCCCAGATTTTAGCTGATCAGTGACTCTCCCAGGGCTGTTTCTCTACACATCAGTTGGGGGCTACTTTTCCTGTCTTACCCTCAACCAACAACAGTCTGATGGCCCTTCTCTCAGCTGGGGAACATCCCTTGAAACCACCACCTTGTGTGAAATCTGTTACCCCTAATTCTGAGATCACTATGTTATATCTGCCTGGAAATATTAGATTGAATATATATTCAATACCTGACAATTTCATATGGTTATTCTATATGTGATTTTGTAAATTGGACATATATCTGAGAAGCTAATTGTACTGTGATGCAAACTGTGAGTAGTTACAGACTGGTAGGATGATGGGGTTGGGCAGGGGGGTCTGGGACAGCTGGAATTTGTGGTGCAAATAGAGGCAGGTCAGGGAGACAGAACAGATGACAAGAGAAGCTGGACTAGGGCTTCCACTCATTTCTCTCTGTTTGGAAGTGAAATTATTTGGTTCGGAAGTGCTTTGCCTGAGAGCTCACGCGGGCAGGCCCAAGGCCACTGCTCAGACCCCCAGACCCCCGGAGGAGAAATTGGGCCCTCTCAGTGGGAACCTGGAATCCTGAACTGATTTCCCAGCAGCAGGTCCAAGCAGGCCCACGCAAACCCTAGGGGGCAGCAAAGGCTCGCAGATTTCTCCTTACTGTATTTTTTTTTTAATGAATTGCTCTATCACTCTTAGAAATTTAATGTTGAGTGATTTTATAATCCGAACTAGACTGTACGACCAGAGACCCTGTTTGTCATTTCCTTCCAGAAATATATTTACCACACCCTCCGCTCTCCCAAGGTCATTTCCAGAAAGGCCAGAGATTTCCCTCGTGCTGGGAAGGCTGTGCCCAGGCCGACTTGAATGAGGAGCTGGCGGGGCGGGATGGACAATGGCAGAGCCGGACACC